AAATATGATATTTAAGATTGCTGAGATCTTTATGAAAAACTATTAACAATAAAAATTATTGGATTCTCATTCCATGTTACAAGGGCCGTAATTACTACGAAATTATCAATATTACTAATTAAGTAATTATTGAGACATACTTAAGAATTACTTGCAAGGTTGTAAGGTAAGATAGCTAATTAAAATAATATATTTTAAATACTGTTTGTACAACTTGTTTTTTGATGCTAGGATTTAGCGTTATAAATTCTACTTACCCGTTTGACAATGTTCAAAATCACATCTATGAATTTGAGTAACGGGGTGACAAACCAAACATTCAGAAGAGCCAACAAGGAAAATACCAGACCCCACAGAATGCTGCAAGGCACAACCACCAAAATGGCCAAAATTCGGTATATCCAGTGTTTGGTTAATGAAAAAGTAAGATAACCGACACGCCAAACATCATCAAATCCTTGATTGGCCTCTGGTTCCGCAACCACATCTTCAAACACAACCTAGAAAAAAAACCAAAAACAAAGTTCGATATACAAATTGGTTACCACTATTGATTTCACCAATTTAAAGGGGAAAAAACCACAATTCTCTGCTGGTGAAATAAATGTTCTGTAGATGTAGAACGGGTTTCCCGTTTGTCGGTTTGATACGTCCTCATAATGTGACTGATTACAATTTTAACATTGTTAGTTACTGATCCTAAACAGTAAATAACAGTGTTTATAAGATTTCACGAGCTTCTTGCACTAAACGGCTTACAACATATTAACCCTTGTTAGAGAAGCCCGTTGTATCAGTTGTTTCTTATATAAGTTTTAATTAAACAAATACAGTGACGTATCAGGGGCGAAGAGAAATCCAAATTTCTGAACACCCCTGGTTTTGAACCTAAATACCTACCTCGACGACGACGATACAGTGACGTATACTAGAGCAAAAGCTTGTAAGAAACATCAACGAACAATACTATAGCTTAAGAAAGACAACCAAAGTATGACGTCATATGGAATAAAGTATAGTTTCATTTATAAGGAGAGAGCTTAGTAGTTTGTATTGTTCAAAAAGCGCTTTGCTAGCACTCAGCTTAGTTGGTAGAGCACTCGTCTGGGAAAAAATAAATGAATTAGGTTACCATATACGGAAAGATTAGACAAGATGTCCCTAAGGTTCAGTAAATTTCGTTCAGGTGACTTTAGCCTTAAAAACTGTGGTGACAGGGGCCGACATGTTGGAATTGATATTGATGCTCTGAAGATGCTTGTTGAGTCTAACCCAAGGTAACATACTCGTGAACTGGCCCTGAAATTGTATGTCTCTCATGAAACAATACGTAAACATCTAAGGAATGTGGGAAAACTCCATAAAGAAGGTGTTTGGGTGCCTTACGAACTCTCCGATGATAATCGTTTCGAACGTGTGAACGTTGCTTCGTCTCTTCTGGCGCGTAATGCGCGTGAACC